TAACTTTGGTCCCTGAGACTAGTCCCACGAATTCAAACCAGTTTGAATTTTTGGGACAAGTCCCTGCGACGTGTTCCTCTTGTTACTTGTCGCATGGACTAGTCCCCTTGTGTGCCGACCTTAAGCCTCATTGAAACATTCAAACAGTCGACTAATAAGTAAACAGTTTTCTCAATCAAAGAACTATCTCCGGCTCGATTCTATTGTTCTATTACAACGAATAAATAAAAGCCTTCATTTGGCGCGAAAATATGCTAGGATATTTGTCCGCGGACATGATCTGTTCCGAGAAGCGAACAGTCTTCCGAGAGCGTAGCTCGAGGAAAACTGAGATTTCAGGAACAGATTATGTACAAGGACAAATATCCGAGCGTCTTTTCGCGCCAAATAAAGGCTATTGTGTTTATTATTCTTCAAATATTTTTTTCGCAACACACGCCGTTTAAAAATTGGGGAATATAGACAAAACCATTTGACGCGAAAATATGCTAGGATATTTGTCCGCGGACATTACCTGTTGCGAGAAGAGAACAGTTTTCCGAGAGCGTAGCTCGAGGAAAACTGTGAGCTTCGACCTTGTAACATATCGCTGAACAGTGCTCACCTCTTGCAGATTAAAGATACCTTTATTACAACAATTCACTCTCACTTACACATTACATGTACATCTTTTGAAACATTATCGTCGTATAACAACTGTTGCGAATAGAGACCAATAGAGTAATTTACTTTACGCATTAGGGCTTGTGTATTTCGCAGTCCTGGCTAGTTAGGTAAATACAGATTATCACAAACAGACAAAAGAATACATTAAAACTCGGACAAACATAGAAAAATTGTCTATTTACATCGTTTATTAAACATATGATAGACTGTCACAAGCAGATACAATTCTGCAAACTCTTTTACATTAATGACAAACAAAGCATTTCTCTTAAAGTCAGTCAGTTGTTCCCAGGAGTCCTTGGCTTAGTTTCGTCTGAAAAGAGAGACGTCCAGAGACTAGGTTGACCTTTAATACACTAATTCCTATTGTAAGCCCCGCAACTTTTTTCCCCGCTAGCTCAACAATACCTGCTTGCCTTAAACCGTCAAAGCCGGGAAAAATTTTTAACGATTCTATAAACACTGAAACTTGTGTTATTTTGCCAACTAGATCTCAACTCCGAATTCATAGTGTAATGACTGAAGAAAGGACAAAATATTAGAAAATTCCATTGTAGTGGAGATTATTAAAAAACATAACTACTCTTGGACTTCCGAGTGGTGAGAAGTTTTGATAGCAAAGCAATTCGTTTCTTACTTAAAAGCCACTTGTTCTCGAATTACATGTCGCATACAAAATCTGTCAGTGCTCATTCAAAAACAGAAAACTTAAATCAGCTAGGAACCGGATACTTATGGAAAGAAATTCATTCTCCGTGTTGTGTTGGATTTAAGTGCCTCAGCTAGACCTGCTGCACCAGCATAACCAATATCATTGTAACTCAGTTTCAACACTGTCAGTGTTGTGTTGGATTTAAGCGCCTCAGCTAGACCTGCTGCACCAGCATCACCAATGTCATTATGAGACAATTTCAACACTGTCAGTGTTGTGTTGGATTTAAGCGCCTCACCTAGACCTGCTGCACCAGCATCACCAATGTGAGTGCATTACAAAGCCAACACTGTCAGTGTTGTGTTGGATTTAAGCACCTCAGCTAGACCTGCTGCACCAGCATCACCAATGTCATTGTCAGACAATTTCAACACCGTCAGTGTTGT